CAGCAGGAAGGAAAGGGTTGGTGCACGGTGCCTACTAGGATCAGAGCTGATTTGGACTACTCTGGATTATTGGAAAGTCTCTAAAAATTCGGTACTTTGCCTTGAAAATGCCTCACAACAGACCTCTCTGCAACAAAGCAGCCAAAAAATCGGAACCTTTTACTGGATCCAGACATGCACCTCCACAGAAAAGGAGCTGAAGCCTCCAGCTCGCACTGCAGCTGGCACTGATGAAGCGAGCGTGAGGATGGGCAGCCACTGAGCAATAGCCCAGGCCTTTCAGCAAGGCTGCTCTGTACTCCTTTCTGTGCTGCATGCCAACCAGAAAATGAGATAAAGAAGTTTTTATTCAGCTTTTGTCCAGATCTGAATTTCTAATTTGGGTTGAGCAGATTATTTGGGATACCTTGGGAGAGCAGGAGAAAGGTAAAGTTTAATTCTTGCTGCAGAAACGTTCCTCTCTCTCCTCATGCCTTCTGCTCTCATGATTTCAGTTTTAAAAATAAACTGTAATTGCATCGTTAGTTCCATTACTTTTCTGGAGGAAGAAACCTTATTTCAAGATCTGGTCTCTGCTCCTCTGTTTGCGGCTGCATTATCCAGCATCCCATTCCCATAAGATATCGATGTGCTATATTTCCAAGCTCCAGTCATGCCAGACTTGCTTTCCTTCATGTCAAACAGTGTGAACCTTCAGTTTGCTAATTCTGTAGCGCTGAAAGGACAAGGGAATTAAGGACCAGTTTGTCAAGCTTCGCTTGGAGAATATACCCAGACTACAGTGTGCCAGCCCAGCAGGGCTGAAAATCAAGAGGGTTTTTTCCCCACAAACTGGTGGAAACTATACTACAAAGGAGCAATGTTTTGGCAGCTGCAATCCTGTACTAGAGAATTTTTAGACCGCTTGCCAATTCTGTAGCAAAATAAAGTATCTTCAGAAAGGCCTACGGACCTGCCACCTTCATGTACGCAGAGGTGCGTGTTCAGTCGGGCACGCAGGCTCGCCCGTGCTCCTTTAGCCCGCTGCAGAGCAAGAAAACCGAGGTCAGAACTTGTCAGAGACCTTGCATAACTTTGGGAGAAATTCAGAAGATAAAATAAGTGCTACTGTGCATACCCAGGTACACCATACAGCGCTATGTGGTCATACAGAACACACAGCACGTGCACGACATCGCAGCTCGCACACAGCAGGCAGAAGCAGCATCTTCAAAGCAGGAAGTCAGCAGAACCCACCCAAGTTATCGTCTGTTTGGTTTTCCCCTCCTTTGATCTGCTGCGTATCCCAGCAGGTGATTTTTGGTACACTCTGAAATGCAGAGTTTGCATAAGGCAATGCAAGCTAGCGGCAGGAAAAACCTTATTGCACATGTCATCTCACAAGACAGGCATCTCAGTATGCAAAACAGATCTCATGATCTAGTTATGAAGCTGAATAATTAGCCAAAATGAGAATTTTTAATTAAATTTAACTTCTTAGGACAGATATCTGCTAAACCAGGAGTGACAGCAAACCCCTAAATGATATGCTAGACCTTAGAAGGGAAGTAAATAACACTACAAATATTTGTTCTCTCACACCAAGCTAAGAGGTATAGCTCAAAATTATAGAGGGAAGAGCTGGACATTTATTTAACAATCAGCTCACCTGCGAGAACAGTGTCCATACAAAACCATTCTACTGCACGCCTCTCTTCACGCAAACTAAATTCAAGCCCAAAAAGTTACACCAAAAGTTATATCCTAGGAACACGTCCCTCATACAAATGCTGCTGCTAAATCACATCATCTACTCTGAAATTCCTGCTTTTCCCAACTGTCACGATACTTGACTAAAACAACAACTCATGCTTACTTATCATAAAGCACTTTAAAACAGGAAAAAACTTTTGCATTATAGACTAGATTTCATCCTTACTATTTTACTCAGAAGGTAGATCATTTTTGAGGTGTGTTTGGTTGGTTTGGTCTTGTCTTTTTTTGTTTGTTTTCTTGACTTCATTAGCAAATTACTCTTTATAAGTTATCATTTTAAACCACAAATAGTAGTTTCTTCTAATAATTAAGGATAATCTTTTATGATAGGGTAACAAACTTACTATTCCAAGTTTGCTCAGTAATTTACCTGGACTACTGCTGCCCTGTTACTCTAAACTGAGGCATTTGAAAGAAAGTCTATTAGTGTAAATAAGTTATAAAGTTTCCCCACAAGCCGGTGGTTTAGATAAAAATTAAAACAGTTTCTTGCAGATCCATTTCCACATTTTCCAAGTGCAATTCACATTTCCTTCCCTCACCCATGCACTCAGGGGTCTGTACCTTTGATTAGGATGAGCTGTCTCTGCTCCGCATGATGACGCGTGCGCTGTCCCCAGAGGAAAACACCTTTGACATCTTGGTGAAGTGCCCGAGTGACAACTCCAGATCCGCGTAAGGGCACCGAGCCGCGGGGACGTCGCCCAGCTCCCACATGACGCACTTCACCGCGGCTCTGAGGCCGAGTCTTCCTTGAGAGAAGACAAAGGACAGAAGTTGCTCGTGAGGAGCGCTTCATTAGCTTTCCTTGGAGGATGCTCGGAGCGAATATTGATAATGCCATTGTCATTGATAGTTCACTGAAGGAGAAGCATTTGTACAGAGCATCCAGCACCAACAGTGAGATCATGCATCAAATCAGACCTAATTACTGTCTGCAGTTTTGGAACAAAGAGTTGCATGACTCACGGGGAGAGAGAATTCCTCCCTAGCTACTCATTTATCTCATAGGGAAGCACAGGGAAAGAGGCGTTTAAAACGTATTAGGTTAATTCTGTAGAGAAATTATTTTCTCATATCCACTCGCTTCAGCAAAGAGAAGTCCAGAGAAACAGGGTCTGTAGTTCAGACACCTGCAGCGCATGTTCTGGAGGTGAACACCAGACCTCTCTGTACTCACAGGATGAGAGAAGAGTTGTTGTAAGGAGCTCTCCCACTCCTCACTTCTGCACTGAAAGCAAAGCATTTGAATGCACAGGGGGATGCTCGGGCCTTGTCAAGCTTGGTTTTGAAATTCTGTCCCGTCCACGAAGCCATTCACACCTGACTGGACGTGCTCCTGGACAAACTGCTCTGGCTGTCCCTGCTGTGAGCAGGGCAGGTTATGCTGCAGGATTTCTAGAGGCACTTTCCCACCTCAGCCGTTCCGCAGTTCACAGCTTTTCTGTTCACCACACGTGCGTGGGGCGCGCTCTTCTTGAAACAGACCTGCAGCAGAAATACATCTCTGCTGTGTGACCAGTGTAGCTCCATTGAAATTAGTCCTAGGAACCACAAGATTTATAATATAAAAGTTAATCTTCAACAGGAAATGTTAACAAAGAAAAAAGGAAGCAGATAAATTCACTCCTTTTGCAACTTACAATTATCACACAATTCAGCACAGAGAAAGAATTTTAGTAACATCAGCTGGATTTCATAGTATTGCGAAGATCATTTGATTAGAGAGGCAGGAAAGACAATTACCGCACCTCAATTTATTATTAAACTGAACAGGCATAAAATTCTCACCACCTAAAGCAAATAAAATTGTCATAAACTTACTTTTTCTATTTTCAAGGATATATAGAGTTGGATATGATGCTTCATAGAGAACAAGGATTAGGGACCAATCCAGTCAGTCTTTGCCCTTTGATATGAAAAATGAAATTTTAAGTAGAAGGACAAAACATGACAGATAGAGGGAAAGAACAACTGAAGTTATGAGATTACAGATGGCAACCACTGCCATTAGGTAACAGCAAAAGGCAAACGGGGTGGGGGCAGGGAGGAAGGAGCCGGCTGGCACACTGAGAATTAGGAAGTGAGTCCCAGCTGAGCGAAAGAAAAGTGAAATGGAATAGGGTCTCCCAGTCTGGTGAGGGACCCACGTTTAATATCAACCAAAGCAGTTTATATGCACCACGCAAGTCTCCAGGTGGAAGCTGTACTTTCTCTGCCAAGACGATTCTCTAGGGCAGCATTGGATGAGATCTTCTCAAATAGATGTGAAATGCTACAATGAAAACAAAAGAAAAAGAATTTAACTCTCCTAACATTCTCTGTGAATTAACTACAATTAACTGGATGTTTCAGCTCCCCTTCTACTTTTTCTGGCACAAGAACCCCAAATACAACACAACACATCCATCCATCTCACAAAAGGAAAAGAAAAAGTGCATTTCATATCAGATGCTTTGCGTCAAGCCTGCTAAGGCTCATAAATCAGCTGTCGTATTGCCCTGGTCATTTCAACCAATGTCTGACCCTTATGTTAACTCATGATTTATAACTGGAAGTTACTCTTTTTTTTAATGCCAGATTTATAAACTTTACTGTGCTTGGTTTGATATAATATCCATTTTGTACATCAAGCTATAGGACAGTAAATTTATTGTCTATGAACTGTTACCTTGAAAAATTACATCAATGCAAAGTAGTTTCCATTTAGAATCAATGGGCAATAAATTCATTGGATTTTTTTGAAGGGGGGAGAGAACATGATGAAATTTATGAGGTCATAAGCTGCTATATAACGGGTGAGACTGGGAGCAGAGGCAACAGTCAAGACAGGAGGTCCGAGCTACAGGGGTAGACAAAGACGAAATATGCTCAACACAGCAATGATGCATAAGCTGGTGTTCTGTTGTCTCGTTATTATCAGCTTCTCCTGTCCTCTCTCGTCTCTTCCCATCATCAACGCCAGTGAGATGTCTCATCAACTCTCAGGTAAGAGCCTTTTGATTTTAATGGTCATAAAGCAGGGGCTGGAGCAGTAGGACCAGTAGAGAAGCAGGGATGCTTTCTGAGCGGCCTTTGTCTGTGCCAATCAGCTGTAGAAAAAGCACAAATGTCTTCAGGACGCTGGCAGTGCAGGTGGTACCATCAGCAGGTGCTAGGCCTGTAAAATGGGGAGGTTTGGTGTCCTAAATATTCTTTCCTGCTGCTTTGAGCTCTGGGAGACAAAGGTATCTGAACCTTCTAGCACTCAATTGGGAGCTGGCATATGCAGCATCTGTCTTCGAAGCAGCATTAGTAGACGCTGGCTAATTTAAAGAAACTTGGCTGTACTGTCTCTCCTCTTGCTATGCTTTAAAATAAGCTATGTTTAACTGAAGTTGTATTTAAAATAGGGGAAGCCTACTGCAAAGGTTAATGCTATCCCACTTAGATCAAGAACAAGCAAGTCTGTCTTAAACTACAAAAAACAGCAACATATTGAGCATGCTGTTTGTTTGCAGATTCCATTCAGTCCAGTGAAGGAATAAATCTTTGCTTGAAAAAAGCTGTCCTTAAAGTTTGAAATTATACTGTAAGTCAAGACTGAAATGCCTCAGTAAAAATGCACAGCAGGGTATGGAAGGTTCCTGTCATCAGACCCGACCTGTGCTGGGAGAGTTTCTGAAATGAGTTCTGGAAGAACTCGCAAACCAAACCCAAAATTACTGCATAATGCTGGCTGTGAAGAAGTGTCTGTTCTTACCTGCTTTGCAGGTGCAACAGCTGCTGAGTTACAGGTATCAGCAGTCCCTAGCTCGCTTTGGAAATCTTGCACTCACTAAGCCAGCATCTTCTCAAGCCTTCCACAATGTAACTCACATTTACAGGCAACCATGCTTCAGTATGGATAACATCTATCACATCACAGGGTGGATGAGCTGGCTCTGACACCGACTGTTTGAAGGGCTCCATTAGGCTTATTAAACCTTCCGCTAATGTAAAGAGTATCTAAGATTGAAGTAGAACTCTGTATTACAGAGACTTGTTCTGTTCTGGGGGGTTTAGCTGTTGTTGGGGGTTTTTTTGCTTTTTTAATCTCAAAGCAAATTTACCTGTTAGCATTGCTCTAAATAAATAAAAAAAATAATACAAGGCTAAAGATATGGATTGCCTCCACATAGCACGGGGAAGTTACAGGATTCTTACTGCATTTCATAGTTGGGAAACTGAGGAGGTTAACAGGCCTCAAACAGGAAGCTTTGTCTTTATTCACAGAAAAGCTCAAGCATAGGAACTAGCTGATAAAGAAATGACTAAAAAAACCAAAAAACACAAATTACATACAAGTGTGGGTTGCCTACAGCTGGGTACCAAGATGATTAGGTTGTAGGTTCCCCAAGCAATGGGAAGGGCTGCTGTTGGTCAAACAACTGTCTTAAAGACAGATTTGCCAACGAAATGAGAACCTGAGATTAACATCAGGAACGTATCTTTTCTCAAAGCTTTGGAAGGAAAAAAACCCCACACAAATATCCCCTATTATATTCATTAAATGGGGGATGGATGAGCAATGATTTAATGATAATCTTAACAGGTGGGGCCAACAGAACTGATCAGAAATCACCTGAGACAGACCGAAACAGCGATTCAAAGCAAAAGACACTTACCCTATGCCTGTTTCTGTCACCTTCCATTTGCAGCTGATGAAGACTCAAGACTAAATCTGGAGCGGCTGGGCAGCCCGGGAAGCACTGCCCTGTTCCAGTTTCTGCCAGAGCTCCTGGGCACACTGACCGAAGACAGCAAAGCAGGTGAGGATTTACCACAGCACCTGATGGGGCCGTGCCCAGGGCTCGCATGTGCGGCTTCCACAGACACTGAGCCCCAGCCTCTGGGTATTTACTGAAGTACAACATTACATGTAGGCAGCAAACAGTTAACTGAGACCATTTAGTTAACTGAGACCTTGGGGAAAGCTGCTGAGCAGCTACGCTTGCGGCTCAATGCTAGCTGGAAAAGTCTCCAAATTAGTTCAGTAAAACCTCCATACAGCAAAACCAGGGCAGGGTAAAGAATGGCTTAGAATGAGTCAGCAGACATAACAAAATAGCAGAGTCTCTTAAAAACATCAATACTCACATGAAGTGCAGAATCAATAGCAATAGATGGTTTGGGAGACGCCAGACATTACAGATGCCTGCTTAAGTGGACAGGACAGCTTGCACCTTCAGAGTCCCCGCTCCTGCTGGGGCTGTGCCACGAGAGCTCACCATGCTGCAGCAAAGGGGTTTTTCTGTCTGGTCCTCCACACGTTCCAGTTCAAGGCTTCTGCCAGATACAGTGTTGTGGGACAAGAACGATTCGTGTAGGCTCATGATTTCTAAATGCTCAGATATTGCCTTTTGTCTTCCCTCTACCAGGTCTTAGCCCAAGCAGCTACAACCCACAGGAAAATATCAAAGAGGTAAGTAAAGGACCATCTGTCACTGAAACAAGAAAAATAAGACTCCACATTTTAAACTACACCGAGTTCTTACTGAGACATCATTTGAGATCCACAGACTTCATAAGCCGTATAGACTAAAGTGTGCCACAGTGTTCTTGGAGGTGGAATACCTTGGCAGTTTGTTAAGCAGAGGAGTTAAAAAAAAGAAAGAAAAAAGAGTGCGTGTAATCCAGAGCATTTCATTCTGAACTCCTTGCTTCTTTGCCCAGAAAAACAGTTTTCCAAATAAAGCCCGATTTCCAGCTTCACCAAGCCAGGCCGGGCCACTAACCAGTACAGCTGCATATAATTATTCCCCCCCCACTACAACATATGCTACACAGTATTATCAGATTTGTTATGAACCATTAGGTACATGGAGAACATTGTTCCTGTTCACTTGTCTGCTGAATTAAATACAAAAGCAGAAGACACAGACCAGTTTTAGTGCATCACCTAAATCGGGGGCACGCTGGGCAGCCGCCTCTCCTGCCCCTCAGAGCACAGGGCTGAGTGAGCAGTTGGGCAGCGGGGAGCGTTCTTTCCCCCGGGAACATTCACCACCCAACAGTAACCTCTCTCATGCTGTTTGACTTCAGACTTTCCACGGAAATCATCCTCGAATTGCTCTGCTGGGCCGCTTCTTGACCAAGGACAGGAAACAGTACAAGAAACGCGGGAATCTTTCCGAATGCTTCTGGAAATACTGTGTGTAAACAGGAGAAGAAATGCTCCCTGGTTTTGGTTGCATTAATTTATACAGATGTCTGAAAACATGTATATAGATTTGCTTGATTTAAAATGAGAATGAAGAATCATGAAGATGATTCTAACTTTAGACTCTATGCTACTTGGAAATAAATAAATTCTTGATGTTTTGCAATTACGCTGTGAGCAGTTCAGTATTTTCTTAGAGTTCAGCACAACAGGAAGAAAGTAATGGGACAGAGATAAATATGCAACATGAAAAGAAGACAGCCAGGGGTAGGGAGATTCCCACAGGGTCCTGTGAAACCTGCCAGAAGAGCAATGCCTCAACTGCCCTCAAAGCCCAGCGGCAAGAGGACCTCCTCTTGCCACTCAGGCACGTGAGGTAGATTGGGATGTCAGGAAGAAAGGGTCACTGCTGCATTCCCTGATGATGGCACTTGAGAGTGCCCAGTCCCCTCGTGCCATCCTCAAGGCACCACAGAAACACTAAGCACGTCAGGATCAAGCATCTGCTCCCACTACCACTGGGGAGAGAGAGCTTTTTCCCTTGGTCACCTGCAAAGAGAGAATCACAGATCTCTCTTTGCAGCACCTTGCCGTGTTCCCAGCTACCCGACACCAGGGCTGCCTACACATAGTGCAGGCTTTAAGAATTCGATTATCATTGAACACAGCATGGAAAGTAAACATCGCGGCTGCCGATGTCAAGGCTTCACAGCAAGGCTGGGGACAGGCAGTGGAGGCAGACGGGGATGATGTGACCACGACCGCACCCCGTGCTCGCGTGGCTGCACGCGCGGATGCAGGGCAGTGCTGCACGGACGGTACACAGCGCTGTTAGGGCCAGCCACCTCCTGCGTGCACGCGGAGGTAGCGAGATTTGTTCCCCTGAGCCACCACATGTTTTTATAATGTTGTATCTTGGCATCTAAAGCTGAATGAGGGAGAAGACAAAAGGGCGCCCACACAAAGGTTCCAGTCTGACTCCTTTGTGGTGGAGGACCAGTGTACCTTCTCATCCCAGTACTGATGCAGTATATAGTGACACATATATATCCGTCTGCAATGAACGGAGCCGAAGCAGGGGTTGTCTCTTGGGGATGGCAATCTTGATAACGTGCTCACACAGCCTGAGCTGTGAAGCCCTACCTTTTTCAATACATACTTTGCATAAACCTCACGTTCATCCAGACTCCTAGAAAGCTTGAGGTGAACTTCATCTAACAGTAATACACGCACTATATTGGTCTCAATAATGTACATCATAAATCTCTTGACTGTGTTGTTTAAACAAGGCCTACAGGCTTCATACAGCTTGTTCACTTCACATAAATTGTAAGACAGATGAAGCCAGCTATAACAAAGAAAAATGTCCTTACAAATGCAGAGCAGCTGGATGCACCTGTGCAGCTGTTTGAAATCGGAACGTTCATCCTTCTCTTACACAGTGGAGCAAGTCGTTGCCTGTCTGGAAATTACTCCTTTCCTGCCACCTCATCAGTTAATTAAAAACTTGTAAGAAAATACATCACATTTATCTAAATGAATAACCATCTAAGATTTATTTTCATAGACAAAGGATAGAGCCTACAGAGACTTGGAAAAAACCCCAATCTGTTCAATTCCACTTCAAAACTTGTAAACAAAGCAACATAAATAAAACCACAATGAATAATAATTGAAAAAATATTACAAGTATTAAAAAGTTCACTAGCCTTCCGCACAACAGAATAAGGGAATGAAGAGAGCTGTCAGGTGGTGAGGATGGAATCACATGAGATAATCGAGCTATAAACCCTCAATCTGTTTCGGTTTTCAATAGTACAATAGTACTTGCTAGCAGTTACGGCATTGAAAGCAGCAGCACTCAGACAACTGACAGAGTTCGAGCCAGAGCACAGCAGCAGGGGCTGGGAGGGAATTCAGCTAATTCTAATCTAGCAAAATTTTGGCAGAGCCTGAAACCGCCAGTCAGCCACAGCCCTTGCCTGCAGCGGGAAGGAGTTCAGACTGGGTCTTTGGACAGCACCGGTAATTCTCAAAAGGACTATCATTTGAGACCCCATTGCACGCTCCGTGCCTCCTTCCCGAAGGAAGCGTTCATGGCAGATGCCAAACAGACTCGGCTCCAGGGCCCAAGAGCAGAGCCTGTCCAAACTCCGCTTCTCCCCCATCCTGCCATAACCTATAGCTCCTGCCAGCTTTCAGCTCCGAGCTTTTCCTCTGTCCTGCAGCCCAGAGAAGGCTGGAGCTGTCACAGCAAACTGCAGAGGCTGCAGGAACTGCTGCGGAGGCCAGGCTGGCAGTCATTTGGAGCAGGCAGAAAGGGAAGGGAGCCGCCAGTCCTGTCCACGCCAGCCTGAGCCCGCTGCAACGGCTGCAGGCAGCAAACGGGAGGATCAGCCAGGAGCCAAGCAGGCAGGCACCTGCTCGAGCTGCGCAGGAGCAGCACGTAACACACATCAGGAAAGCTAACACAACTGTGCAGCAAACCTGCTACCAAAAAACTACAGCCCCACTACCTCTGAGATCAAGAATCCCAGGTCCAATACTGATCTCTCACCATCTGCCAGAACCACAGCAGGACATCACCTGAAAGCTGCAGGTTTCTAGCTGCGAGCAAGAGCTCCAGCCGGCAGCAGGATGAGTGCTGCTGGCAAACCAGCAATGCAGCTGGACTGACACTGCCCACGTCTGAATAAAGACAGCACTGCCTTCAACTTCTTCATTTCACCTCTATTCACCGCTTCTCGTAGTTCTTGGACAAAAAAATACCTAGATAATTTGGCCCACATTTGTAAAGATGTTTAGATGACCAAATTACCCTTTTAAAAATTAATAAACCATCAGCAAATACGTATCTGTTACCTCCAAGGTGTCTGTATTTCAAGGAGCTGCATCACTTACCTTGCCAGAAGCACCTTCAGTTACATGCTTATCTAAAAGTACTACTTCTTTTTCTCCAATGTTAGTAAGACGCTACATTTTTTGTTCTGAACCTCGTACTCCCTGCAGTGACTTTGCCCTTCCGCAGGCTTCTTTAAGCACTGTCGACCACGCTTCTCTCTGAAGTCCTTCAAAGCAGAAAAGGATGAGTAAATTGTTTCTCTGCAATCAGTTAAGAACTTTATTGCTCTATGAGACATGCCTGTGAATTAAACCTATGAATTTTTTCTTTGCCCTTCCTCTAGAACACAGATTTAAACACGGTGGGGCCAAAGTGCTCCCAGGGTGTTTATTATTTACCTTTTCTAACAACATCAGCACAGAGAGAGGCTTTAAATCACACATGCCAAACCCCAGCAGCTTACACACCCAAATACAACCCTTCACACTCAACAGGTACTTGCCCTTCCATATGGGATGCAATTAGAAAGGAAATAACATGTCTTGAAGTGGGCAGCAGAGCAAGATAAAAAAACCAAAACAAACCAAAGCCCCGAAACACAACTCCCCCCTCAAAACAGGATGAATGGCCATGACATGACCATTTTCACTGCACCCACAGCCTCAACACCTATGTACAATCGGAAAAATGCAACGAGTATTTTCTTACAAGTCTGTTTTCCAGAAATTACAAACAAGTAAGCACACATTTGGAACAGTTCCTTGCAGCGTATTTTTCAGTTTTATTTATAAAAACAGAAGCTCCTTTAAAGTGTACAGTTAAAATCACAACTGTAAATTCAACCACAGCTGGATATTATTTCAATAAAATATCCGTATCAACCGATGTAAAAATTCATTCAACCATGATTTAAAACTCAACTAATCTGGAAGATAAACTTACCAATATATTACTCATTCAGCGCGTATTTATCATACACTGTAAAAATACACTAAGGTCCCTACTGTTCATAGCACTGCCATGAAAATACTTGCACATCAACTCATCCTTTAAAAACATAATTCTGTATTTATGAATACAACAAAAAAGATTGCCAGCAAAATCCATCAAGGGTTTCCAAACTGCTGACACCCCCACAGGGGGTAGTAATTGCATCATTACTGGATTTGCATGTTTTCCCTTTGATCACCAAAAAAGTGACCTTCCAAGCAGCTCTAAACGGTCTGCAATGTTTTACTTATGCCAGGCAAAACAAAAACACATAAATGGAGTGGCATGTGCAAATCCGGCTGCAATATTTACTCCATTGGTCTTTCAGGTCAGAACCGGATTTCACTTCCACTACTCCAGCAAACTGGAAAGACTGAAAGATTAAACAGAAGCTGAAGGAAAAACTACCAGTTCCTGAAAACTTGCAGCAATGAGGTCCTTCCCAAAAGGCTCGATAAGGCATTTGATTGCAAGATGTCATGGTTCTAGGGGGGCAGAGTATCCTGGGAAACTCTTTCTTGTCCTAAACCTGGTTTAGCAGCCAGGATTGTTCGTGTTTTTGGGCAAATAATTCAATGTAACTGTCACACAGGGCACTGATCCACCTCTTCGTTCCTCTTCCACTCCCGTAACTTCTGCTGTAACCCAGGGAATCTTACACTGAAGATACAGCCAGGATTACAAACTTTGCGTTCCTGTGCACATTCGTTACGTACGGTCAGAGGGCACGGTGTTCGCTACAAAAACTGCCTACATTTCTGTTGCTCTATGATCCCACTGGGCAGATTCAGAGTAGTAGGTGGTACAAAAGGGCTAACAGCTCCAAACAAGAAACCCATTAATATGGTAAAGCTGCTACGTACAGGTCAGAATCTTGACCACCTGTAGCAAGGACAGCACAGGATACAGTGAGTGAAGATCCCCAAATTACATTCCTGGATTTGGTATCAACTGGGGCTACGCATCTGTGCAAGTTCTTTATGTCTCTGCCTCTTTTCATACAGCTGGGATAGTGACAGTCACCCTTTGGACACATTTCCAGACCTACAGATGAAAAGCATTATTCAAGTGTTTGGTAACATGCACCTATCTCCTAAACCAAGTCCCTCTGTTTTACGAAATGGATGACACGCATGCCCACTAAGACATTGCAAACCATCCAATTGT